TCAGTTGTTGGGACTGAAGCACAGAACTTTCAGATTTTTTTTTAAGGGCTTGTTTTGTCGACGCTAATTTTGTGAAAGTCAGTTATTTGATTATTTTAGTTCTCTGGATTAATGAAAATAAATAAATGCCATTCTTAAACTCCTTTAAAAAAAATAAAATATCAGGTAGCCGGAAAGGTGGCTTGGCAGGTAAACACTCTTGCTTCTCATAGAGAGGGCCTGAGTTCAGTTCTCAGCATCCTCACTAGGAAGTTCATAACCACCCGTAACCCTTTTACTCCAGTACCAAGGGATCCAATGCCTTCAGCTGACCTCTGGTATTCATGAGCACTTAGCAGATGCTCACACAGACATATACATGTGTATGTAAATTTAAGGCTTGCTAATATGAAACTTAAAAAGACATAGCAAATGCTACATAAAGAAATGGCCTCATCCTGTTGTGTATGTATCATTGTTAACAGTGACAGTAGTTGTAAAGGAAGAGTTCATTATATTTGTGAGTTTCATGTCTATTAATTGTAAGAAAATATAAACTGACTCATACAGGGTTTTTTATTGATTTTTTTTTTCTTGATGCAGCTAATGATTCAGAAACTTTATTTACGTATATAGCTAGCCCTCACTCAGTAATCTGGTATAATAAAATAAAAAAATTTTAATGGACCAGTTATTTCCCCCAGGAATAGTCTTAAGATTATTAACACATTTCCCTATAATATTAATATACCTTCTGAAATATCCAAGTAAAAGTCATTTATTTTTACTAAAGTAAGAAGTTGTTGTTGGAATGGGATGCATATCTCATTAATACCTCCTCGGAAGATTCATGAAATGTCTTTATAGGCAATATGAAGCAGAAAGCAAGCCTCATTTAGTCAGAGTCCAAAGGGCTGGTATGGTTACTCTGCGCAGCCTGTGCCTTTGCAACACTGGCCACGCTCCATTTCCTTCCTCTAAGCCCCTGAGAGCCTTTGGCCACACCTCCGGGTGCACGTTCTATCTCCACCTCCATGTGTCAGCAAAGTCATTTAGCTTCTTGGGGCCTTCGTGTCTCTTGCCTATGAAATACCGCACTACGTTGTGTCACATCACTTCTAGCGGAATTCAAATAATATTCTTCTAAGGAAGTATTACAGATAAGCAGCCAGCATTCTCTGAAGGCTATCTTTACGATTATGACTGCTAAATGTATCAACTTAAGTAGATAAATGGCGTTCAGTTCACTTTGTTACAACCCGACTATGTCATTTTCACCAGATGCAAACAGAATTTACACATTTGTGTTTGTAGCTAAATTATCCGAACACTTGGAAGCTTCTGTTTCTAAGCTGATGAGAATCTCTCTCTCTCTCTCTCTCTCTCTCTCTCTCTCTCTCTCTCTCTCTCTCTCTCTCTCTCTCTCTCACACACACACACACACACACACACCAGCTTTCCCATTCTTTTCCTCGGATCGTGTCTCAAAGCCCTCCGGGTGTTCTCTTAAGTTCCTCCCATTCAGTACATCTCTCGCCCCGTTAGTTATTGCAGGCCAGGGGATGATCAATGACTTGTGTGTCTATATTGGCGACTCAGATTCTCGGCTGCCTTTGGCCTTGAAGAAGGTAACAGAGTTCTCACTAGCACCTATACACCGTGCCCGCCTGCTGCCCCGAAGAGCTCACAGTCCAGTTAGTAAAAGTGCCATTAGAAGTACATTCATGTGAGGGCAGTAATGAACCCGAAGATTCATGGGAAGAAATACAGACGCTGCCTTAGTCTGATGCGGCTAGAGGGGCTCCTGAGAGGACGCAACCCCCGAAGCCGGAGCTATCAAGGTTGATGAGTAGAGTCTGGGCACTTCTGGAAGAGGGAGTGTGGGCAGGAAGAAGGCAATGGCATAGAGTTAAACTGTGTGCCTCAAGAAACGGACGCCTGGCAGGGCAGTGTGCCGGTGGTGAGAACCGAGACACCATTTCAGGTTCCAGCGACCAAGACAAGGAACCCCTAGGCTCCACGTTTAGGAGCTTAGGTTTTGCTCTCCAAGCCATGAGACATGACAACGTTTTTAGAAAGGAAATGGCTCTCACAGGGGTTTGGTCTCTTTGATGATTCTGTTTTATAATTTTTAAAAGGTGAAATTGCTGACATTAAAAGTCCACATAGAAGATGATTTTAGGGTTTTGTGCTCCGTTGTTTATAAACTACACAATGGCTTATATTTCCTAAAATAATAAAAATAAAAAAGCCTTAGTATACTACCAGATGATTCTAAGAATTTATATTCATGTACATTTTTTCAAAATGTGATCCATTGTTAATTTCACTTTATTCTTGATGGGTTCAAAACTATGTTAGTATTGGGGAAGCCCAAATAAATATTTTTAAATATATTTTTTCAATGTATAGACTGTGTCATGATTAAATAAGGCTTCTTTTAATATTTTGTCTCAATTTTGGAAGCATCACTGCTTCAAAGTTCCAGAGACACATCTCTTGGTCCATTCAGGTAACCTAGAGGTGAGCTATGTCAAGGATGGCAGCTGATCGGGGTACTAGGCTTCAGTGTACAAGATCAGAGGTGACAGAAACCCCAGTTGCTAAGGTCAGCCCAGTTGCTAAGGTCAGCGTCGTCTAACTGCGCTCATGTCCCTCCCTTCAACTCCTCTTTCGGTGCGGGGCACAGCGAAGGTCTGCAGAGCCATTTCTTAGACACTGTGTATAGTGTACACAACCACATGTCTCCATTTTGCCTTTCCCACAGATACGGAGAGGATGGGTTCTAGCCTTAATTTCCTGTTTTTCCATGCCATTTATGGCTCCTCCCTTTACCTTTCAGCAAAGAAAATAAAGCTGTACCAGTGCCTTGACTAAACATTCTCCACCCAGATGTCCATCCAAGCTGGTCTAGAAGTATTACTGACTCCTGTGTGGCAGTGCAGAACATCCCTCCCTCCCTCCTTCCCTTCCTCCCTCCCTCCTTTCCTCCTTCTCCCTTCCTTCCCTTTCCTTTCTTCTTTCCTTCGTCTCCTTCCTACTCTCTCTCCCTCCCTCCCTTCTTCCCCTCTGGGTTTCCCTGTGTAGCCCTGGCTGTCCTGGAACTCCCTCTGCAGACCAGGCTGGCCTCAGACTCACAGACCTCCACCTGCCTCTGCTTTCTGAGTGCTGGGATTAAAAGCGTGTGCCACTGCTGCCTGGTCTCTGGGTTTTCTTTAAAAAAAAAAAAAAAATTATTGGAAAAGATAAAAAGTATTCATGAAAGCTCTGGACCTGCACAAAATAAGATTTCTTCACTTGTCTGATCTAAAAACAAATAAACAAACAAAAAACGGTCATTTTTATAATTAAAAATGTTTGCGCTTTCAAACTTCAATTACACTCTAGCATTTTAATATTGAAACCTTACAAAATAAAATTTCTTCACTTTTCTGATCTAAAAAAAAAAAAACAAAAAAACAAGCAAACAAAAAACCAGTCATTTTTATAATTAAAAGTATTGGAGCTTTCAAACTTCAATTACACTCTAGCATTTTAATATTGAAACCTCAGTGAAACTACTCCATTTGGATGGGGAAGCCAAATGTAATTGTTTAGTAAGATAATAAACACGTGTCACTTCTCTGGCATCAGCCGCATTTCAGGAGCCCAGTAGCCACCAAGATTGGCAACAATAGCACCAGACTGCAGGTAAGAAAACAGTTCCATCCTCTCAAAACTTAATGCTAGCCTGAGAGAAACCCATTGCCTTGATAGACACGGTGAGAAGCTCCTACCCCTGAGTTTTGCATGCGTGAGAACAAGGAGGCATTCCTTCTTGATAGCAGACTGAAGAAGCCATGGGCAGCACATCTTGAAAGACAACCCCCCCCCCCAGCTATGAAACCTTACCCAGAGCCTATGTGTGCAGTGACACGGGCCCTAAGTTGTTCCTATTTTCTCCTGAATTCCGTTTTTAAAACTATGCCTATATTCTTAATAGATATACTTATGAAGGAAAATCTTTTGAGATGTAAGCTGCTGCAACTGTTTTTATATGGTAGGTGGAGCTACCTTGAATATTTGGGAAGTCTAAGTAAATCATTTGAAATGTGTTCTTCAGTGATTAAGACGAGCCACAGTTTAATAACGCTTTTTGCTTTCAATATTTTGTGTCAACTTTAGAAGCACCTACTGCTTGTAAGTTACAGAGAAATGCCCATTTGGTCCAAGGGGGAGCCCCGTGGCTTTTCCTCAGGTAACTCAGATGTAAGCTACTTCAACAGGAAGTGTGTCAAAGGTCCAGCCCAGCCTACTGCTGACACTCAAACTTACTTCTTGTAACACCCATTTTACAGGTTATACAGTGATATCTTTGCCATTGAATATTAACTTTTATGAATGTAATATATTCTTGTGTCACACACAGAGATACAAATCCTTCAAAAACATTGATGTCTAAGAGACTTGGGAACCTTTGGTTTATGAGACAAGCCCCCCACACCCAGGATTTACTTATTCATTATTATCTCTTATGGCACTAATACCCTATATTAAATCATTGTGAAATGTTGGTAATGAAACAAACCCACAGATTTTGCTTCACTGAGATTGGTTTGTTTTTCTGTCATTGCTGAACTCTTTATTTTGAAGAAATAGCATATTTTCATGTCATACAGAAACTTGGCAAAGGAAACTTACGCACATAAACATTTATCAGAACCTCAGTGAGTGCCTAATAAATGAGCTAATTAAAAACTGAAGCTGGTCTTGCTTTGTGAGTAGCAAATGTTGAAAAAGCAATGGTAGAAGCTGATTGAAAATGCATTCTTTCCAGGTATGGTGGCGCACACCTTTGATCCCAGTACTCAGAAGGCAGAGGCAAGTCTGTGAGTTGGCTAGCCTAGTCTATATACTGACTTCCAGGATGGTCAAGACTGTGCAGAGAGTCCCTGTCTCAAAAAGTCAAATAAAGTAGAATGCATTCTTTATTCTTAATGCTCCATCTCTCAAGTAAGCTTTAAAAACAGGGATTTTGGCTACTAAGCAATATTGATTTGTGTTGTATCCATTGTTTTTTCTTGCGTTACATCATCAGCTTCATAGACTGTCTCATTTGTTGAATTTGATGCTGCAGTTGAAATGAGGCCTTTGGTTTTTCTGTTTAAGTTGCCTGCAAATACACAAGACCAAACGAAATAATTAGTGAGACTTGTGACATAGCATTTGTCTTTTCAAAGTTTGTGCTTGAATTATTATAATAGCATTGAAAATGGGATGTTCTGAAAAAAATGTATGGATGAGTGAGAACCAAGTTTGATCAGAACGATTTTGAGTCATCCGTTCTGAAAGCAGAGAGAGATACTCAGTCACAGGAATATGAATTTCATTTCCATGTTCTTTTCTCCATGCCTCTATGACAAAGCGCACATTGCATAAGGAGGTAACAATTTAGGGTCACTTAATGAAAGTGACTGTTGCTGTCCTACAGGAATATAATAGATTGCATAGAAGCTAATCATGATGATTTCAAGACTCAAAGGCATTGCGCAGTTTGGATGTGAGTTTTTTTTAAAGGACACATTCACTCCACAATCCAATTCACACGCTTTACATGAACTCATAAATAAGCAAGGGCTGGGCAATGTGGTCTTCACTCATAAGCATTTGGGCTAACAAAGGAGAGGCGAATTATTACTCTGTGGATCGTTACTGTGCTTGTGTCTTATATAAACATTTATTTAAAATGCCGAGGTTTCAAACTGAGGTGGGTTTTTTTGTTATTTTGGTTTTTTCATTTTGTTTTGTTTTTTCAGAGTGAGGGCAGGGGTCTGAAAACTTAAAACCTAATGTTGGTTTCTTTTTCCTATGTGTTTCCTAAGTGGTGCTTACATATTTAAATTCATAATATTTGAATTGAAATTTCAAGGCCTTCTCCCCTCTACTTCATCACGTGCAGGCTTTGTGGTTTTTATAGCAAAGCAGAATCTCCAGGTGTTATTTTCTAACCTAATGAGTTGGATGCCCTCTCTAACTTGTCTCTGTTCTGGTTTGGTTTTCATTATGTGTTTCTGAGTCAAAGGCTAGAATTCATCAAAACTGCCTACTGCTCTCTGAGTTGTACAAGCTATCAAAATACATTCCAGTGTTAAAAATTCTGAGTCCTTAGCACTTTCAAAAGCTCTTATTCCTCAGCCCTGACTCATTATTGACTTGGCTTCCACATCCTGAACAAGTTAGCTTATCAAGACAATTTCCTAGGTTGGCTTCTAAAACCAAAGCAATTACCCCTAACAAAGCAATTTCCTATTCAAGTAAGGAAAGATTGGCTGTAAACACCTGAACACTCCAGAATTTTCTGCTGTAAAAATCCAAAAGCACTTTCAAATGGGTTTCCCTGCAGCCGTTTAAAGAAATTGGAGATACAGGAATACAGCTAGTGGAGCTCCTGGAGATGGCAGAGTCCCCTGACATCTTTCTGGGACCATTTTAAGAGAAGCAGCCACCTCAGCAACCTGTTTTCCCTAGTTTTCCTTTCATGGAAACTAATTTCTTATCCAGTCAAATAGGGATAAAGCCTTCTATCACAGGTTACAACATGGATTCGGTTTCAGGTAAGAAATCTGTAATTCCACTGAACTGACAAGGATTTGTTGCACTCAGAGAGTTCTTCTTGTTTAATGCCTATGTCTTTAGTTGAGTACAGTTGCCAAGACTGAAATTCTTCCCTTTAGTTCCTGGTGCTGAGCTTTCACGTTTCCACCCTTATCTCATCTTAGTCTGCCTACTGTATGTAAACCCTAGCCTCCCTTTAGTCCCGAACATAATAAACATAATAAACTGGCGCTTAAAGCTTTGACCTTTGGCAAAATTGAAACCTAGTTCATCAAACAGAATCCTTCTATCTGTTCTCATTGCAGTGATGCCAAACACTTGTTCTGATAACGTTAAACAGGCGTTTATTTCAGAACTGTTCCTCAGGGATCCGCTAACTGCGCAATTGTGAGCTTGGGTCTGGACAGGCATTCCAAAACAGAAAATGAGTATTGCTGACTCTTGCAGATCTCTGTCCCCTGGCCACCAGGCAGACTGTGACGGTTGCTTCTCTACCGTTCATTACCTATTCATCTTAACCTAGCTTCTTCTTTCTGCACAGGAGCTCCAAGCGCAGCCAGCTGCTGGGCATGGCCGGTAGCTTTGGGAAACATCTCAAACCTGCACCCCTAAGTCATTCTGTTGTTTTGCTGAAGTGTTGCTTTTGATTTTTTTTTTGAAACAAACTCATAGTCAGGGCTGCAGGCTGTGGTCAAGGAAGTTTGTCAATTCGTTCTCTCTTTCCAAGACACTCCATGAGTGTTTTTTTTTTTTTTTTTTTTTGTTGTTTTGTTTTGTTTTGTTTCGTTTTTTTTATGCTGGAATCCAAATTATCCCATTTTCTACTAATATGGCAATGGATTCTTTCAAAGCTTTTGTGAAATAAAGTATTGCTGAGTAGAGTCAGCAGCCCAACTTAATGGGTTTTGAGCACTATATTATTATTTTTTTTAACTGAGTATTAAGTATTTAGTAAAGCGACTCCCAAAGGTATCTATAAATGTACTATAAAACCATCAAAATATCACTTGACTGTTTCAGAATTTTAGAGTGTGATTCAAAAGTTCATTTGGAAACTTAAGCATTACATACAAAAAGCCAAGGCATTCTTACAAGAAGCTTGGTGGAAGGAAGGGGGTGGGTTCTTGACATTAAAATAATGTGACAACAATAATTTTAAAGTCTATCACAACTTAAGAATAATCATGATTAATTTAATAGATCACTGATGGGAGATGTCACTCTGTGAATATGTTTCTTTTATTGGTTAATGAATAAAGCACTGTTGGCCAATAGGAAATCAAGATAGGCGGGACTAGGAGGAGAGAGGAAGTAGTGGGGAGGAGTTCCCAGATGGAGGACAGAGAGAGAAGAACGCCAGCTCCTCTTTCCGGTAAGATGAGACCACATGGAAATACTTAGATTAATAGAAATCGGTTAATATTTAAGACAGAGCTAGCCAATAAGAAACTAGTAACTGGCCAACAGAATTATATCAAATACAGAGTCTCTGTGTGTTATTTGGGGCTGGCAAGGCACTGGGACCAGAACAGCAGGGAAGAAATCGTACTCGTAACAGATTACAATCTAAATACTGCCCTGAGCACATGTTACAGTTTATGATAAGTGACCATTTAGGTTGACATTAGAAAGACAGACTACTAGATATTTGGATAACTGATTCACTTGGAAATAAAAACTTGGCTTCTGTAGAGTTATTCACACTTTAAATACACACACATATAAATATAGCAAAAGAAAACCAGCAATATCTATGGAAGAATGAATACACATATAGGAAATACATAAAATATAAGCAGTGTGTCACAAAAAAATGCAAACACGAAAATGTCTGGTTAGATAAATTGGAAATAAAATAATATTCTTTACGAAATCAGTAAAATAGATGCCTTTAAATAATAATACACAAAGCCACAGAGAGTGTGGAAAAGCAACTAAGTGTAAATACTAATTTTCTGGAGGGAAGGTAGAAACTGTACCCACATCTTTCAGTATGTACGCACATTCAGATTAGGAATTCTACTGCTAAGGATTTATGCTAAAAAAAAAGAATTTCTAGGTGTTCAATATATCTGTTAGGGACTGGTGGAAGTGGGAGTCAGTAAGTTAATTAAAAATGGTGTCTCCACGGTGGATTTATAAGGTCGCTCTCACTCAGTGGCCAATGCACAGCTATCTTGATCTCAAACTTCCCAGCCCCCAGAACTGTGAAAATTAACCTTCTTTCCTTTATAAATTACAGTCTAAGATATTTTGTTTCAGTGTCACAAAAATCTTAGATAAATAAACAGGGAGCAGTGAAATAATAAATTTAAAAGCAGTAGGAAGTTGGAAAATTGTCATTTATAAGTGTCATCATAACAACAGTTGTCAATAAAAAAACCAGTGATTGAGTGAAGATTGAGTGAAGATTTACAGAGGAACAGGATATTTTCGTGGTTTCAAATACCTCACTGTAATCATGTTACTATCACCAATAATTAGGCCAATCAAAGCTGTGTTGTCTGTGGTACTTTGATACTATAACTTCTGTGTGTTCCTGGAAAGAATGTATGCTGTCTTTCCAATCATGAGAAAACAAATAGATTGAGGGACACTGAACAAAATATCTGTCACAGCCATAAAAGAAGAAGAAAGGCTGAGGATTAAAGGAAACAAGAAATAAAAGGATACAAAAGTAATTCTGGACCAGATATGAGACAAGAAAAATTAGCTGTTGAGTGTGGAAACCTTTAATATAAACCCCAGAGTGCACGTTGCTGCATCAGGGTTGGGGTGGCTGACTTGGAAGTGTGGGCAGGGTTCACACATGAGGAAGTATCTTTGCTCTTAAGAAGTGCTATCGATTTTATAGTTTAAAAGTTCAGAAAATATGCACAAAGTGCCAGTGATAGAACCGATGAAGCAAAATATTAAAAACCAATAAATCTGCAGAGGGATATACAAATGCTTACTATATCAACAGCAAAAGTCATGGTGCTTTGTGAAGTAATAATGGGTTAAAGGATAGCGGGCTTCCGTTTACAGGCAAAGAAAGATGCAACTATTGTGTGTTTTTTTAGAGGGAGATGAAGGCTGGGGACAGAGACAGGCAGGCAGGCAGGCATGCACACACACGTGTGTGTGAGCACGCGCACCCACCCACACACACACACACACACACACACACACACACACACACACACACACACACACACACACACACACACACACACACGAGGTGGTGTGGGGATGAATGGCAGCGGGGATTGAGAGAGATACCCATCATGCAACCCAAGGTTGCCTCAAACTTGTGACCATCCTGCCTCACCCTCTGCTGGGTGCCGTGTCCTGCTGTTTCCGGTTTTGCTTCAGATGTGACCTAGGGATATGTAGAAAAACCTCCCTGAAGGATATTCATGCAGCACTAACACCTGTCACCTCTGAGCCCAGAGCATTTGTTTGTTTCTCCCTATTTCCAGTGTTTCTACAATGAATGTGAGCCGGAAGGAACTTTTCTTTCTGAGGAAGTGAGGGCATCTTCTAAGAAGGAACACAAAATCATTTCAAGTCATTTCA